CACAGAACAAGCAAGGCAGCCACACACTGGTCCGATGATCACAGAGCGAGAGACAAGAAAGGCAAGGCTCACCAAGCCATCCATCTCTCCGCCCCTCAGTCAATCCCACCTGCGTTTATCAACCAGGCTGGCACAATAAACTGTCTCACTTGCCTACGAAGCCAAGCTGGAAAAGGTCAAGGAACTGGGGGAACAGTGATGCAGACCATATTGAATTCTGAAGGAGACCACCAACACCACTCAGTCACAGCCTAATGGATCTATGGGCCCTTATTAACAGATTTTCTGAAATGCCGGAAATTGAGTTTTTATATGAAAATGTGTATCCAGGTAGAACGCTGAAAAAACATATCTCTTGCTAGATCAGGCCTGTCAGTCAATCATGTGCAAACTCTGGTTTAAGCACAAAATTTCATGTTTTTATAATAGTTGAGGGAGAAATGCTGCCACACTTCAGCCAGCCTTACCTTAAAGAATTCCCAATTCAAAAGGTCACTTCTCTAAGCCTAGTTTTCTTCCACTACCACAGTTTCTTCTCATAGAGTAGTTATAAATTATTCCAATTAGTGGCTTGAAGAATGAGCTCAGCATATCTTAAACAGAAAGGACTAAAAAAATGCAAGCTTTGAGTTACAATATTGAACGATTCTATCGGCAAAATATCGAATGATGCAGGATGCATCTAAAGTAGATAGAAAGAATACATAAAGTCGCTGTAGCAAAAAGAACTGATTGAAATTGCACCATTTCAAGGGGTAGCATATGGGCAAGAACCAATGGTAATGATTAAATAAGTTCATGCTAACTGATGGAATACCAATTAAAATGTTTTAAGAAGCTGATGAAGCACTGGAAGCACTCACTTGTCTATGAGAGGAAAGTTGGGAAACAGCTACTTGGCCAACTGACTAGTAGAGATCATCTTTCTACCCATTCCAAAGAAAGGTGACCCAGCAGAATAAAAAAAATTGTAGTGCAAAATCATTAGTATCACATGCAAATAAAATTTTTCTGACGATCATCCAATAATGGTAGATTGACAGGGAGCTGCCAGAGGTTCAGAACAGATTCAGAAGAGGACGAATACAGAGAGTCACAGTACCAAAAAGAACTAGTGGAAGTCCAAGCTACACTAAAGGCATTGACCAAACACAAAGCTCCAAGGACAGAAGGAAATTCAATTGAAATGTTTCAAAAAGCTGATGAAGCACTGAAAGCACTCACTTGTCTATAACAGGAAATTTGGAAGACAGCTACTTGGCCAAGTAACTGGAAGAGATACATATCTGCACCCATTCCAAAGGAAAGTGACCCAAAAGAATGCACAAGCTTATGATATAATTTATCTAGGGGTCACGAGGTTGAGAAAGTGAGGATGGAGGGTAAAAAGAGGAGCTGATCCCAAGGGATCAAATAGAAAGTAAATGCTTAGAAAATGATGATGGCAACATATGTGCAAATATGCTTGATACAATTGATGTATAGAATGCTATAAGAGCTGTAAGAGCCCCCAATAAAATGATTTTTTAAAAAGAATGCAAAAACTGTAGAACAATATCATTGATATCACATGCAAGTAAAATTTTGCTGCATATCATCCAACAAAGGTTGCAGCAGTACATTGACTGGAAGCTGCCAGAGGTTCATAAGAGGATGTAGAGCCAGGGATAACATTGTTGATGTCACGTGTATCATGACTCAAAACAGAGAATACCAGAAAGATATTTATTTGTGTTTTATTGGCTATGCCAAGGCATTCGACTGTGTGAATTATAGAAAACTATGGATAGCCTTAAGAAAAATAGGAATTCTGGAACACTTCATTGTGCATGGATCCAGAGGAAGTTGTGAGAACATAATAAGAAAATACTACATGGTTTAAAATCAGGAAAGGTGTGCAACAAGGTTATATCCTCTCACCATCTCTATTCAGTCTGTAGGTTAAGCAAATAATCAGAGATGAGTTATGTGAATAATAATGCAGCATCACGATTGGAAGAAGACTTGTTAATACCTGTGATATACAGATGGCATTAACTTGCGTGTTGAAAGTGAGGGTGACTTGAAGCCCTTGCTGATAAATATCAAGGACTGCAATCTTCAATATGGATTAAAATTCACTCAGTGTAAAAGAAACCAAAATCCTCACAGCTAGACTAAGTGGTAACATCATGATAGACAGAGAAAACATTGCAGTTGTCAGGGATTTTGTCTTTCTTGGATCCACAATCAATGCTATGGAAGCAGCAGTCAAAAAATCAAATAACACATTGCATTGGGTAAATCTGCTGCACAAGTGTTGATAAACAAGGGTGTTACTTCAAAGATTAAGATGTACCTGACCCAAACCGTGTTATTTTCAATTGTCTCATATGCATGTGAAAATAAGACGTTAAATAAAGAAGACCAAAGGAGAAGCACTGCATTTAAATTATGGTGTTTATGAAGAATATTGAACAGTCCCATGGACTGCCAAAAGAACCAACAAATCTGCCTTGGAAGAAGTACAGCCAGAATACTCCTTCGAAACAAGGATGGTGAGACTTCGTCTCACATATGATAGCAACAGAGACCAGTCCCTGGAAGAAACACAAAAACATCGTGCTTGGTAAAGCAGAAGGTTGGGGCGGGGGAAGACAAAGACCCTCAACAAGGTAGTATGATGCATGGCTGCAATAATTGGCTCAATTATGACAACAGTTGCTAGATGGCACAGGACTGAGCAGTGTTTCGTTCTGTTGTACATCGGGTCACGTGAGACAGAACCAACTGAACACAGAGGGCGTGTCATCTTTGTCCACTAAATGTCAAGTAGCTTCAAGGTTGGGGGCAATGACTGGCAGCTAGAATCATCTGAAGACATGCTCACCCGGGTCAAGTTGGAAGGTGCCTGGTATCTTCTTGTGGTTAATGACTATGACATATATGGTCTTTCTTTGAGTCTCGGGTTTCCATGAGACATGGTACATATATTCCAAAGGCTAGTGTCCCAAGACAAAGAGGGAGAGGCATGCAAAAGTCATATAAAATTTTACGACTTACCTTCAAAATTCACACCAGGTCATTTCCCCTGCATTCTAATGATTAAGATCATCAAAAGTGGGATATAGGTCCAGCTTTTAATGGCGTGTGGGCCAGGTATCTAGAAAAGAATATGGGAAACCCTCCAGTTCCCTTTCCCACCAGATCAGAACACTGGTCTGGGTGGTTGTAAAAGGAGGAAAAGAAACATGGAAGCTGCCCCTCGGTGCTCCTGGAGCTTGGGCTGGTTTCAAACAGGGTAAAATAAAATAAAAATTTTAAAAAAATAAAGAATATGGGAATGGAAATACACTGTGGCCATTTTGGGAAGAAGCAATTTACCACTGTCAAAAAGGACAACCAGAGTCTCTGTTAGAATTAAAGCAAAGAATTTTATTGAAGATTCAGAACCACTCAAATCAAGGCAACTTTTAGTGAGGATTGATCAAGATGCTCAATATCCTGAGGAAGAAGTGAGCTTAGATACAGAAAAGTGGGGAAGTGAGTACATGACTTTTACAATCATGGGATTTGAGATGTCACTTGATTTACAAGGAATAAGCACATTGAAATTTTACAAAGTTAGCTGACTGATTTTCTTTTTTTTTAAATCATTTTATTAGGGGCTCATACAACTCTTATCACAATCCATACATAAATCAATTGTGTAAAGCACATTTGTACATTCATTGCCCTCATCATTCTCAAAACATTTCCTCTCCACTTAAGTCCCCCCCCCCAAATTAGGTCCTCATTGTTCCCCTCCCTTCCCGCTCTCCCCTCCCTCATGAGCCCTTGATAATTTATAAATTGTTATTTTGTCATATCTTGCTCTGTCCGACATCTCCCTTCATCCTCTTTTCGGTTGTCCGTCCCCCAGGGAGGAGGTCACATATAGTTCCTTGTAATCGGTTCCCTCTTTCCTACCCATTCTCCCTCTACCCTCCCAGTATCGCCACTCACACCACTGGTCCTGTAGGGATCATCTGCCCTGGATTCCCTGTATTTCCAGTTCCTATCTGTACCAGTGTACATCCTCTGGTCTAGCCAGACTTGCAAGGTCGAATTCGTGTCATGATAGTGGGAGTGGGGAGGAAGCATTTAGGAACTAGAGGAAAGTTGTATTTGTCATCGTTAGCTGACTGATTTTCTCACCGATTTCTTGGAGCCAGTTTAGGGAGCTATGGACACCTTCTTTCTGAAGCTTGCTTTGCGAGCATTCTTCTGAGACCATCTTGATAAACATTTACTGGCAAATATGTTCCTTGTATTGTTTGCTAAGGGGCGTTTAGGTTTCACAGTAAGATACAGCTCTCAATTGCAGGCTTTATTTTTAACAAGGCTAAAGGGAAGATTTTGGACAACTTTTATTTAACATTGGTGCTTTGATATAGATCTAGAACCATTATCATGAATCATGCCAAGCACCAGAGTTTTAGAGTGCCTGCACATGGACATAACTGACTGCCTGACCTCTTGAGTCAAGGATTTACAATCTCTTTTCTGATTTGGTCACAGCTTTTTCAAGCATTTCAAGACCCTTCTCTTGAAAATTTTGCTACACATTCATTATTGCAATCTTTATTGATACAGCCTACCCAGAAAACAAATCATTCCTTCTCAAACCCCTCTGGAAACAATGACAATAATAATGTCTCTCAAAGTTAATGATTAACAGCATCCTTCAGCGCAAGTTTTTAAAACAATATGGAGTTTGGCTTCTACTAGGATCTGTCTTAGTCATGCCAAGTGCCCCCGAACTTTGGACTGCCCCTACATACCACATAAAGAAAGAATTAAATATTTAAACCCTGGCTCTACCAATTACCAAAAAGAACATAACCTTGTGCAGGTGAGATTGTCTCTTTTGTGCATAATGTTCTTCACCCTTTCCTGAATTACAGGGAGCCCTAATAGCATAGTAGGTTTTGCATGGGACTTTCTACTCCTATTAAGATTTACAATCTCAGAAACCCACAGAAGCAGTTCTTATCTGTCCTAAGAAGTTACTATGAGTCAGAATCAACTCAATCACAGTGATTCTGATTGTTGGGTTTGTTTTTAAGTTTATCCTGAATTATAGTTACCACTTTTTATTTTATTTCTCCCACTGGGCAATGAACTTATTGAAGGTACTGGATTTTTGTTTTCATTTGGTTTCTCTCATTATTAAGATTGTTCTGTTTCTATTCATTAAGTTTTTAGTATCTGAGAATGTTTTGATACTATGCATATAGTTTCAGCAGCTGGTTCCTCCCTACTGGACAGCTGATTCCTTCTTCAAAGTCTGTTCTTAATCTACAAGCGCCACTGGAATGTGTTTACTTTGGGTGATCCTGCTGGCAATTGAAATACCAGAGACGTGACAGAGCTTCCAACATCACAGCAAAACACAGACACTCAGTATGACAAACTGACAGACAAGTGGTGACCGATAAATTAGGTCCCAAACTAATAATGCATATGTAACACTTGTAGCACTTAAGCCAGAGATTCAAACTACATGAAGTAAAAACTGACAGGACTGGAAGGAGAGAGGGTCGAAAATTCCACAAATAAATTTGGAAAGTTCAACATTCCTGGCTTATAAATATAACAAGAAGATAGAAAATCAGAAAAGGTGTAGAAAATTCAAACAAATTATCAGGAATGTTGAGGAAGCTTTATATTTTATTTGATAAGTATCTGTCTCCCCAGCACTGCCCAATGCTCATCTTCTTCCTGAGCTTGTCTTACCAGGCTAATTGATCCCTTTGTTACCCAGCACCCATGGTCACTCTTTTTTGAAGACACTCCAGTTTGTCGATGGCACAAACTAATTGTGACCTAGGAAAACCTTATCCCATTCTTGATCAGAGTACTACCTATGTTGATTACAGCCCACGTATGAATTTGTTCTTGGAGCAACATAGAATCCTCCACTAACACTAAGTTCTTAGTCAACTAGAGAGGTGCTGACTGGAGCCAATTGAATCTTGACCTTCCATCATCATGAGCTACTAAACTCCAGGGCAACCAGACCCCATATTGACAGGCACATGATTTCCCTTCAATAAAATTAATTGTTGTGGCAAATATTTTATCCAAACTTGAATATCAGTTTTCACTTCTCAGCATATAAAAGAGATATATACTTTCTTTCTTCCTTTCTGCATGTAGAGTATTGTTTTATTGTTGTTTTCGTTTATCGTGATGCTTCAATGTAATTAATGAAAGCTTAAAGAGACAAAAAAAAAGGCGAAAGTCATCACAGGCAGAGAATTAGCATGTTGCATCTCAAACCAAACCAAACTCATTGTCATCGAATCAATACTGACTTATAGCAACCCTGCAGGACAGAGTCAAACGCCAGTGTGGGTTTTGGAGACGATAACTCTTTACAGGAGTAGAAAGCACTGTCCTTTTTCTGAAGAGTGGCTGGTAATTTTGAACTGCTGACTTTGCAGTTAGCAACCCAGTGCATAACCACTATGCCACTCAGGGCTCCTTGATCAATAATGAATTTTTCCCCTAAATTTTTGAAGGCCTCTCATATTTTACAAGGAAACGAAAGGACCAGTCAAAATCACAATTACCTATGACCACAAAATTGAAACTATCTTTAATCAATGTATGACTGAAATAGATTGGTGAGCCAGAATTGATAATACTGTATGCCACTATTTCTTAAAATAGTTCTTTTTCAAATGTTTATTTTCTTATTCTTTATGTATTAATTGGCTTAATATTTAATTTTTGCCACAGTTCTTATAGAAATTTTTGTTTTTGTTTTTCAAAATCAAAAAGTGAAATGTGCTTTTGGGAAAATGCATTAAAATAAAACTTCTGGAGATTAATGAATGGGTGAACCCTCTTTAAAATAATGTGATTCTATGCTAGGATCTTCCCCCTCTCTTAACTATCTTTTGTGTCACCCACCACAGAGTAAGGAGTTGAAATACAAATGTAATGAGCTTCCTCACTTTATAGGGGGAAAGGATGTTCAGGTGGGTTTAAATGACTTTCATAAGTACTTGGGGATAATGGCAGCTTCGAGGATACAAATCACTTTCTTCTTCCAAATCACTGGTAGAGAGTTTCATTGTTGAGGGAAATGCGAGACCAGAAATTTCTCTCGTCTGCTGTCATTTGAGAAAACAACATTGAGGAATTAGAAGTGACAGGAAATAAGCTTTCCCCCTACCAGAATCCAAAGCATACTTTCCACTGAAATGACACGGGCTAGCAGTAAAAATTGATGCGTTTGAATGGTGATGTTGGAGAAGAATACTGAATATACCATAGACTCTCCGAATAATGGACAAATCAGTATTCGAAGGAATAAAACTGGGATGCCCGTTAGAAGCAAACATGGCGAGATATTGTCTTGCTTACTTTGGACACGCAATTAGGAAGGAACCATCCATAGGAAAGCACATCACGTTTAGGTAAGTAGAGAGTCAGCAAAAATGAGGGAAACCATCCATCTTCTGTGGAGGGTTGCATCCAATAGCTACAAAAATTGGCTCAAACACATCAATGAGGGAAAATGGTGCAGGACGGAGCAACATTTCATTCTATTATACAAGGTCACTGTGAGTCAGAATTGACTTACAGTGAACCAACAACAATCAATAGAAAATTTGGGGAAGATGATGGGGTAAATTCTCACAATCGCCTCCCATAAAGCAGTGCTACAGGTACATTTCTCTCCAGCTGCCCCTGTGCCCTCTCCCCACAAACAGGCACATTTGTTGTTTTACTATCACTGTGATTACGTTGCACAGCAATGAGCATTACAACTTAAGGAGGGATCCAGGGTGCAATGAACTATTCATAAGCATCATTTTAATTGCCACATAATAGTTCATTTAAGAGTATTTGTTACAGTTTGCTTCACCTTGCTTCAATTTTGGCACAGTTAGTTGAAAGAGAACCACTCAAATGAAGAGAGCGGAAATATACAGAAGAGGAATAAATAAATATATTCATAGCAAACTGAAACACGAAAATACTCCCAGGAGGCCGATCAGGGCATTGAGGCTGTGGGTCACCTGTGTTTCTTCCTTTCGATTTTTCTTCGCGGATCAAAGACAGTAATGAGAACACCTACTGTTATTGAGTATCTACCATTTGCTAGATGCTGCCCATGTATTTCCTCATGTAAGCCTCACAAAGGTTATCCAAGGTCACTGCTCTGTCTTCATTTTGCGATAAGGAAAATGAGACACAGAGACTTGGCAGGCCACCCACCGGTGAGGAGGACAGAATCTGCACCTGT